AAAAACAAACACCAACAAAAAAAAAAAAAAAAAAAAAAAAGAAAAATAAAAAAGCAGCCATGCAGTTTTGCGATGCCAACGCAGCAGCCTCCGGTAAAGAGGGACACCAGCATTGTGAGAGGGACCCAGTGCTACCCCAGCTCTGTGGGTCTGGGGTGGCTGGAGGGGTTGCCCTGCTGGGGGTGATGTGGGGGGCACAGGACATCCCTGCTTCCCACCGCCCTGCCCCATGGGCTGCCCTGCACAGGAGAGCAGCGAGCACATGTCCAGCTTTGAGCTTAAGTTTTGTCAGGGCTGGGGAACAGAGAGTGCTGGTGGGAGGCGATTTTTAATGTAATTAAAGGGCTGCTGCTCCAAGCTGCTTAAAAAAAGAAAACTGACTATAAAAACGTATATTTCACCCAAGATCCCTAAAAAGCACCAGGATAATTAACATGTGCCAAAGTGCCTCACATGGCCAGCACCTATGTTTAGCTCCTGGGCCAGGGAGCGGGTGCTGCCTGGGCAGGCCACCAGCAGCAGCAACCTCACAGCACCACGCAGGGAGACTAGCAGGGAATTCGGCCAAACACATCCAAAATGTTTCCATTTCAAATAACAATAGTAATAAAAAATACATTTTAAAGAGCATCACATCTCAGAGTTGGAGCAATGGTCTGTTAAAGCTACTGCAGGAACTCTGGCTCTCCAAGGCAGCAGGGCAGGCAGATGACGACAAACCCCCCAGGCAGCTGTTGCTGCGCCCAAGCCCCACTGCTGGTTCTGTGGCACCAGCTTTGCTCTGCAACCAGGTGGGCTTGCACCCAGCATGGCCCAGCAAGGGCACTGCGTATGCTTTGATGTGATCGCCCGAGCCTGCGGAGACCTCATGGTCAGAGTGTCCCTGTCTGGCACAGGCTGACACGGCTCCTATGTCCAAATTTAATTATTATTTTTGCAGAGCGGTAAATGAGCAGAGCAGCGTGCTCCTGTCCTGCCCGGGTCCAGCACGGGGCCGAAGCTGTGGTCTGCGCTGCACTGTCCTATTTCTGCGCCCTGGAGCTATTCTGGAAGGAAACCTCAGGGACAAAAATAAGTAAAGAAAACAAAACCAGAAGGACACTTTGAGCATGGTGGGGAGAGGCCAAGGTGCTGCTGCAGCCAGGGAAAGGGGCACCCCTGCCATGCAGCACAGGGGCTAGGCCACCTCTGAAATGTGCATGGGGGCACCGGAGACAGAGCTTGCCCCAGCTCCCACCTCTTCCCACGTGCTGTCAGGGACAGGAGTGTGTGTGCCATGGCCACGAACTGGGGAGTTAAATGATGAGCAAGGAGAGGGTGCACCAGCAACAGCGTAAGAATAAGGGATCCCTCTCTTATCCCCCTTACCTCCCATGGCACAAACCCATATGCAAACCAACATCAGCTGGGCTTGTTATATGTTTGAAAGTAGTGGATTTTAGAATAAAAGTGGAAGGGGAGTGCACCTAAAATGCACCACGTATCAACCTCAGTTATCAGTACATGACCTTTATATATTGGCCCTCTGCAACTAATCATTTAGTATGATTTTCTTTTTTCTCTGAGGCAGGAAACCAGATAAAGGAAATTAATTCTATTTACATGCCTAGCAAAATGCGGGCCACAGGTAGCTCTCTAACATGAGTACTTTGAGGCAGCCTGAGCTCCGGGGAACAGAAACCCAGCAAATCACTGAGACAAGGTCACAGCATTATCACAGATTCCAGCACTTGCGAACACCCAGCTCCTCACGTGTTTGAGCAATATCTGTATATCATATTTCCTCCAGTTTTTTGCCTTTTTTTTTTTTTTTTTTTCAGGAGGAAGAAACTGCACACCAGCTAGAATAAGTTACAAGGACTGGTCCCACCACCAGTCTGCTGCCTCCATCCACGTGGGAGAGCCCTGAAACACAGCCACATGACAGAAACAGGAGGAAAAAAAATCACAAATAAACTCCCCAAAAGGCCCCATTTTCAGGAGAAGAGCAGGCAGAGAGCCCAGTTTCATTGCAGAGAAAGAGTCTTCATTTCATCGAGAACCTGCACACCCAGCTCAGGAATTGGGCTCTCTGCCAAAGTCAAATCAGCATCCCTGGACAGTCGAACATCTGGATGGCATGGAGGCACGCTGCTCCCTGCGCCGCACTCCCGATGGCAGCCTACCTCTCCGCCACTCCACACCCTGCTTGAACCTGCAGAAAACCCTGTGTTTGGGCTTAAAAAGTTGCCAT